TAGACAGAATAAATAATTATAAATCGAAACAATTTTGAATGACTTCTAATACAAATAAATAAAGAAGGGGGGAAGGTGAATTTATATTATGTTTTGTTGTTGTGGTTGTTTGTACTACTGTTTATGAATTATAAGTAGTATTGATATAATTATCGAAAATGAAGATAATAGAAAAGGGTATATCTTGACAACAGCCAACGAGATATCATGCAAACGACACAGAGAACAAATAAGAAACACCCTAAAGAAAAAAAAACTAATGAAGATCTCAAAACCATTCATGGAAGAAAACACAAACAACTGCGTGATCAATCACTAACTCCATCGAGAAAAGGTATATGGTAATAGTTTGAGATATTGATAATATTGAAAAAGAATACTTGAATTAGTAATTAACGGAGCTAACCAATAGGGGTTCTAAATGCTCTGATACGGTCAAAAGTGGGGAGAGTCCACTCTCTCTCTCACATGACCACGTGCATACAACCACTAACAGGGAAGTTCTACTCATCGTCTTCTTGCGACATTATTGTTGTTTACGAAATTGAGAGGACGAGAAGCGAATGTCCAAAGCTTTAACTGGGTTTGTGGACACGGAGGGTCCACCTATGGGAGTTGGAAAACCGTGATTCCAAACCAATGGTGCACGTGGACTCCAGTATCTTGAAGGAACAAATGGTTCATGAACCAATTGTTCGTGACCGGCTACGATGTGACTACATCTCTATACGTTGCTCCACTGCGATATGGATTAGACCTCTAGGTCAAAGGCTCCGACTTTGGCCTCCTAACATAATTACCTGTTTTACTTTGGGCACCCAGATAGCATCACAGCCCTCATGCAAACCGAATGGTCTTTGGTGCCCCCTTGTACCAATGTTTATGTGTTTAAATAAATAATGCCGGTTTTGATATAACGGGATTAGTCTTATTATATATTTATATTTTATTATATTTTAACACATAAGCATTTGTACAAGGAGGCAACAAATACATTTGCGCCACACGAATCTCAATTGATTTGTGTGAGGGCTGTGATACTGCTCGGGTGCCCAAACCGAAGCAAGTGGTTTTCTTAGGGGGCCACACCCCGAGCCTTCGACCTGAACGTCTGACCCACAAGGCAGTGGAGCATCGTGAGGAGATGCAGTCCCATGGTAGCCGGTGACCAACGATTGGTTCATACGCCATTTGTTCCTTCAGGATAATGGAGCCCATGTGCACCATTGGTTTGAGATCCGGTTAAAGCGCCGGACATTCACTTTTCGTCTTCTCATTTTCGTAAACAACACCCCCGCCACGAGAAGGCAGTGAGTAGGACTTCTCTGGCAGAGGCTATATAGGCGTGGCCATGTGAGAGCATTTCGAGAGGGAGAGCGGACTCTCCACACTCTCGGCCGTACCAGGGCATTTGGGGGCATTAGTCTTATTAACGTATTATCGTAATATACATCTGAGAGAGGAAAAATATTGCAAACCATTTGGTGCAACCAGTTACTATTAATGATGAAACAACTTAAAGATAAGGTTCTAAATTGTAATAAAAGACTAATTTTTGATAAGAATTCAAAAGGAAGCCTTTGGTGCTAGTATTTTCATATTCAGATGAAATTAAGTAATAGGATTTTATAAATACAAAGTTTAGGAAATTTGACAATAAGCTTTATAAGCAAAAATGGATAGTGGCTAGCAGTGGAATCCAGTAAGATGTGTATTTCTTCCTATTTGGGACTCGTCAGTTGGACTTAGTTGCATCAAGACTCAGTAGCTAATTGGATAATGCAATAGCAGTTGAAGCGGATGGTGTTGAATCTGAGTCCCAGAATGAACGACAAGATTACTCTAGCATTGTTATGATCTCAATTGTACGAAACAAACCTACAATTAAATCATATCATTATTGAAGGATTAAGAAATAACCATTAATGTATTGTATAAATTACTGAAAAAAAATGTCAGGGATTTTATTATACTGTTCTAAGTTCATGTGAGGACAATCCACGGGTGAACGTGAGGAAGCTCTAAGAAGCTCAGAAACAGCAGAGGATATTCCATCCAATCAACTTTTGGAAGAATATTCCAGAATCTCTACATGTAGCTTCCTCATTTGATAAATGCTAATAACCTCCTGTGTGCGAATTGGATGACTATAATGATGATTTCGTTTTTACTAAAAACTATAAATACCTGAAAGTTTTGTACCATAAATGGCACTGTTTGGAATAGCATTCCTTTCACTTGTTTTCTGTCTTCTCATTTACGAATTGGGAGGGTTCTAGCGTTCGAGTGCTGAAGTTATACACGGTATATTAAGAATCTAAGATCTAGATATAACAATTCATCAACTCAGAATATCATTTCATTGAATTTTCAGAATCTCTGCGCATAAATATAACGGAAACTGTCAGACAAAAAATCACTTGTGATTTGTTATGAGACCTAGGATTAAGCTGATCTCCTCATCAGTGAGTGATTTTCTAAGATATAATCTCCCTCAACATAAGAAAAGTAGACGATAACACTTGGAAACATATAAACTCAACAAACATCTTTAAAGATGTCAAGATAGTTCTACTATACGGAGCTGAAACGTGGAGAACTATCACAACCATCATCAACAAGATACAGTTATTTATAAACAATTGTCTACGAAAGATATTCAATGTCCGTTGATCGGATACCATCAACAACACCATACTATGGGGAAGAACAAACCAGATTCCATCTGAAGAGAAAATTAGGAAAAGATGGGATATATATTATGGAAATCACCGAACTGCATCACAAGACAAGCCTTAACATGGAATCCTGAAGAGAAAAGGAAAAGAGGAAGATCCAGGAATACATTGCATCGAAAATTGGAAGCAGACATCTAAAGAATGAATAGCAACTGGAAAGGATTGTCGAAAACAGAGTTCGACGGCAAACGCTGGTGGGTGGCCTATACTTCTCCACGAACGGTAACAGGTTTAAGTAAGTAACTTAAAACTCATTTTCATGAATGGATGTTTTGAAAGAATAGTTTAACATCCGAAGTTCTTGTATAATAGCAATCATAATAAATCCGGAGTTATAGAAATACACAAAAATAAGATAATAGTTTTGAAGTAAACCAATTTAAATGGATAATCAACTCTGCCGAAGTTTATAGAGAACATGAGAAATAAACACTCGAATAATTTAGAGGATCTTGTTTGCCTTATAGTAGAATTAATGGATTGTCAATAGTATATTCCATACGACACTAGTTAGGATCAAAGAAATTCCTGATATCAATTTAAGGGTTCTGGGGATTGTCAAGTTTTTGATTGAGATCATGAACCGATTGATGTTAGACCACAATTGAAAACCTGTTTAATAATTAGGTTCATAAGTCGATTAAAGCTAGACCACAATGGAAAACTTGGAAGCCCTGGACGGCTGTTTCGTGGATGCGCATTGCTGAGCAGTCCCACACTAGGACAAAACGGTCATCCAGTGCTTCCATGGTGGTCTAGCTTTAATCGACTCATGAATTAAATGATTAAAATTATTACAATTTTCACAAAAGCCCCTTTCTGTTAATTATCCTGTTGTCAAATTCGACAGGCGGTGTACGTCAAAGCCTAACTATCGCTGAAGAGTAATATAACAATTAAGCGGAACTAGAATTGGGTCGAAACAAAGAAATTATCTATTTCAGAAACATTCAAATAATAACAATCAACATTAGAATGAAAAAGCTAGTTTATGAACAGATAACACCGAACTACTGATGAGTAGTATCGAACAATACTACACAAATACACTTGTAGTAAAACTTTTTTTTATTTTTAACACATAAGCATTTGTACAAGGAGGCAACAAATACATATGCGCCACACGAATCTCAATTGATTTGTGTGAGGGCTGTGATACTGCTCGGGTGCCCAAACCGAACCAGGTGGTTTTCTTAGGGGGCCACACCCCGAGCCTTCGACCTGAACGTCTGACCCACAAGGCAGTGGAGCACATCGTGAGGAGATGCAGTCCCATGGTAGCCGGTGACCAACGATTGGTTCATACGCCATTTGTTCCTTCAGGATACTGGAGCCCATGTGCACCATTGGTTTGAGATCCGGTTAAAGCGCCGGACATTCGCTTTTCGTCCTCTCATTTTCGTAAACAACACCCCCGCCACGAGAAGGCAGTGAGTAGGACTTCCCTGGCAGAGGCTATATACGCGTGGCCATGTGAGAGCATTTCGAGAGAGAGAGAGAGGACTCTCCCCACTCTCGACCGTACCAGGGCATTCGGGGGTAAGGATGCTACAAATAGAATCAAGAAAACTTACACACTTTTATGCAGAATTTTAAAGTGAATTATCTTCATCCGACATCACATAAAACAATCAGTAGAAATAATTGGGTTTAATGTTCGTTTCCATAAACTAATCATTCACAAAAGCTGTTCCGTTGAATGACTAATAGATAATGGCTGTTTTAACATCCAATCCTTGTAACAGATTCGAAGTCCCTAACTGAGTCAGACACTATCAACGAAAACCTATTGTGGGAAAGAACAAACCAGATTTCAGTGGAGGAAGAAGCGTTGGAAGTGGATAGAACACACATTGAGGAAAGCACGGAACTGCATCACAAGGCAAGCCCTCACTCGGGATCCTCAAGGCCATAAAAGAAGAGGAAAATCAAAGAACACATTACGCTGAGAAATGGAGACACACATGAGAAAAATGAATCACAATTGGATAGAACTAGAAAGGAAGGCACATGACAGAGTGGTTTGGAGAATGCTAGTCGGCGACCTATGCTCCATTGGAGGGGTGGGGTAACAGATGTAAATAAGTAACTGAGTCATGAGCATCTATTGTTCTTCTTCGTGTCAGCTTTTCACACGAATGGCTTCACCCCTCCTCCGTTTAGCACCAAAAGTACCTATAGGCTAAATATAAACATTTACACCATTGAATATACTTTTACCTAGATTTTCTACCTCATGATACACCAAAAATAAAGCAGATATAACCGATAATAAAACTATACTTTATTCATAACCTATTTACATGTATTCAATATGCAATAAGAAAGCAGAGAAAATAAAGTTAAGTGATTGTTTTAACTTTTAATTCAGTTAATTGATTATAACGTTGAGAACTAGTTGCTGGTGAAGAGAACAAACTAAATAATGAAGATATTATTCTTGGCATTAATCCAATAGTTAATATTCCAGTCCATCCTAAATTAATACCATCACCATCTCCAGCCCATAATTCATTGCCGGAATCATTGAATCGATTTCTTTGAAGATAATTTGCATTAGTTTGGTTTTTATCTTTTGAGAGTTGTTGTTTTACTACTGATAAGTCCAGTGGAACATCTTCAGATTTAGGAAGATAATAATCTGATGAAAACAGAAACAAATTAATGTGAATGATATCAAGTTCACATGAAAATTGAATTATCTAGAGTATTAGTATATCAATATTAGTAGTGTTAACATGAAAATAAACGTTATTTTGATCAGTAACTCAAATTGATTAAGTGCCAAAATTTTTATTTATTTCAACAGATAAATATTAGTATAAAGGGGAACCGAGTACACATGCGTTACACAAGTCACCTAATTTGTGTGTAGACTTTGATACTACTCAGGTGCCCAAACCAAAGCAGGTGGTTCTCTTAGGAGGCCACACCCGAAGCCTCCGACCTAAAAGTCTGATCCATAAGGCCATGAAGCATAGTAAGCAGATGCAGTCCTATGGTAGCCGGTCACAAACGATTGGTCCATACGCCATTTGTTCCTTCAGGATCTAGGAGCACATGTGCACCATTGGTTTGAAATCATAGTTTTTCAACTTCCCCAGGTGGACCGTGTCCACCAACCCGGGTAAAGAGCCAGAGTTTCACTTTTCGTCCTCTCAATTTCGTGAACAGCACCCGTGGTGCGAGAAGACAGTGAGTATGACTTCCCTGTCAGTGGCTGTATACGCATGACCATGTGAGAGTATTTGAAGAGGGAGATCTGACTCTCCCCATTCTCAGCCGCACCAGAGCATTTGGAGGCGCTGTCAAATACCTATTAATTTCTTCTGTGACTTTGCTTATGTAAGATGTAGCAAATTTGACTGTTACTTGCAAAAGATCTGACACTAGTAACTCACTTGTATCATGATTAATTAATAAGTGCCAAAATTAATTAGTCATGATACAGGTCATTTAGGTACTTGCGTCAAATCTTTCACAAGTAAGTATCATCCAAATTTGCTACATCTTACATTAGAAAAGTCAGAGAAGAAATTGATAGGTTGAAAAGCATAAAGTAGGAAATAATATCGAAGATACAATGAAAAATACAGTCCAAAATATAAGAAAAAACAGAGATTGAAGAATGGAAAGATGGAAATTATACTAAACTAAACTTGAGTTTTAGAGGATGGAAAAGAAAACAACCGATTGAATCATTGTGACCAATTTTGTACCCTATTACTCAATGTCTCTTACAACGACTGATCCAAGTGAGGAACGCATCAGGCAATTAAGATGACAGTATAGCTCGACTAATAGTGCGTGAGAAAATAAACTTTCAGAAGGTTCATGTACTCCTTTAGTGGGCATTTCAGTAGGAGTTGCTCATAAGGTCAATAAATACGGTTTTAATTGAGTGTGGGTAAGCCTACGTCCCAAAACCTGACGAAGGGTGAATATTTGATCTGCACAGGCATGTTTAGGTCTGGGATTAGCCCGATTTTCATGGATTTGTTTTTTATAAGATACAGTTAGGCGTTGGGTGATTATAAATCCAAATATTTTAGACATCATGTCAGTTAGACTGATTCTCTCATGATTATCACAAGGGGATTCCTGTTTTTTCTCATAACCTGAAACGACCAGTATTCATGAGCAGTTTAGCAAAACTACGTCCACCTCACAAACTGCAGCTAATATCTCAACCAGTTTAACTTCTGGTAATGAGCTATGGTTCCTGAAGACCTCTAAAAAAATAATCTATCAAGAAAAGCTGTTCCACTAGTTTTAGGTTAGATATAACCTTTTCAACTTCGATAAGAGTTCCAGAACCGATGTTGATCATTCATCCAAGTTGCTGATAAGTAGCAGGTAGTGGAACAAGAGCGAAAAGCCAGTTGAACTGTTCCTTAAAATGTCTGATTCAGTGTTTTAGCCACCTTGTTTTTTTTGCCGAAAAATCTTTATTTTGTTTAATGACTTAACGGGTCCCGTATTTATAAAAAAATGACTAAGAATACCACTATACAGATCTGTCAAATGAGATAATTGAAAAGAGAATTTACTTCACTCAAATATCATTATTTTATTTAAAAACCAGTTAGCTTCTAAAATCAACAACAGCCTACTATGGGAGAGAACAAACAAACTTCCAGATGAAAAAGAAATTAGAAGAAGACGCTTCAGGTGGATAGGATATATACATTTCGGAAATCATCAAACTACATCACAAAGCAAAGCCTAATATGTAATCCTGAAGGGGAAAGGGAAAGAAGAAGATCAAGGAACACATTGCATCGGAAATTGGAAGCAAACATTTAAAGAATGAATAGCAACTGTAAAGGATATCCCAGCACAGAGTTTGATAGCGAATGCTGGTGGGCGACTTATGCTTCTCCACGAACGGTAACAGGCGTAAGTTAGCTTCTAAAAGAAAATACAGTGGAGTTCCCAATTCATTGTTATTTTCAACTCGATTTGTGGATTTTGCATAGAAAACCAACAGTATTTACTGTCAATTTGAAACTGTCTTGTATGTTAAACGTATGATAACTGATATAGATAAGAAACTTAAGAGACTGATTAGAAAGAAATACATATATAACCATGTTGAATAAAAGGTTTCACATGATGAATCATACACTAATTATTTCGATATATTGTACATATTTAACAACTTTACTAATATGGAAAAGGAAGAGGAAGCTGTATCAATAAGAAATTGAATCAACTTAACATACCAGTTTGAGTAGTATTCCTCTCTGTAGATTTTTCACTTTCCAATTGATGTTTCATAACAGGATCATATCTTACTGTTTCATCATGATTGTTTACTTTAATTAAGCGTTTTATTTCTTTGAATTCTTTTTGTCGTTCCGACCAAAATTGATTCCATCGTAAACGCCAATCATAATATTGAAGACCACCTTGTCTAAATGATTCACCTAGACTACAAACAATTTGATCAGCTCGTAAACAACAATATCTACGCCAAGCTAATATGATTTGATGTTGAAAAAATAATCCAGACAAATATATAAAAGTGTAGATTAATATTTTTGAAGCAATCGATACACGTAGAGGCAATCTGTTAGTTCTGTTGAGAATAAATATCGTCTATGTAGATTGAAAATTACATGAAAGACAAGAACAAGAGAATTTGACAAATAACTTAAGACAAATAGACAGTTTTTGATGGAGTTTTGTTCTCTGAGCTGGATGGTTTGGTCGTAGAGCTTTCATCGTTCTTCTGAACGACATCATCAGCACAAACTTCAGATAGAAGTCTGTCTATCTGAAGTCTGTGCTGATGATGTCGTTCAGAAGAACGATGAAAGCTCTACAACCAAACCATCCAGCTTAGAGAACAAAACTCCATCAAAAAAAGAATGATAGTGAATGAAAGAAATCTGGAAAACTTTATATTGTAATGTGAATAGCACATCAACAGTTCAATGAGTGTCAGTAAACAACTGCTTCAAATCCAAAGCAAATTTTATAAATGATTTAGTGAGATTTTTGCGTTGAGATCGAAATGTTTCTTTAAATTTATTTGTTTAAATAATATTGAAAATCTTTCAATTATTAAGTGCTGTTATGAAGGTAGATTTGATGAACTACTGGATATCAATAAAATAAATGTACATTCTTTCAAAGGTACCTTTTCTCCCTACTATGCTTCTTACACAACGGGACGTATTGCAAAAGATAATAAATATGGAATCATCGATGACCCAATTCATTTCAGAAGTAGTAATGCAGAGACGAAAACTTTAAGTCTCCTTAATGGTCAGACGAAAAATTTGGATTTGCTATGTACAAAACACATTTGTCACCATTAAAAAGGATCGGCAGGAAAGTGCTTACAATTTGATAGACAGAATATTAGACAATATAAAATTCATATTGGAAACGGCAATCTAATAGTATCAGATGTGTTAATCATCAAAACAATATGGAAAAACTTGTAACCGAAAATGATGAAATCCTCAATTACAGCAGTAATAACACAATGACTTATAAATTAAGCTTGATGCAAACCGTGTTTGAAAGACCAAAGATACTGCAGTGTTGCCACAGCATAGAGAAATACAAGAGTTGATACGTTGGGCTAATCAGACAAATTATCTGTACCCAAGATTCGAGAATGAAAACACCTTGGGTTAAGAAATGGGAAACGATCAGCAGGTTGAAGTCTCACTTTATAGAACTTGTAAACATGTCCGCAAATGCCCTGATACGGACGAAAGTGAGGAGAGTCCACTCTCTCTCTCTCTCTCAAAATGCTCTCACATGACCACGTGCATACAACCACTAACAGGGAAGTTCTACTCATCGTCTTCTTGCGACATTATTGTTGTTTACGAAGTTGAGAGGACGAGAAGCGAATGTTCAGAGCTTTAACCGGGTTGTGGACACGGAGGGTCCACCTATGGGAGCTGGAAACCGTGATTCCAAACCAATGGTGCACATGGGCTCCAGTATCCTGAAGGAACAAATGACGTATGAAACAATCGCTGGTCACCAGCTACCATGTGACCGCATCTCTATACGTTGCTCCACTGAGATATGGATCAGATCTTTAGGTCGAAGGCTCCGGGTGTGGCCCCCTAAGAAAACCACCTGTTTCGGTTTGGGCACTCGGGCAGTATCCCAGCCCTCACACAAATCGGATGATTTATGTGGCGCATATCTATTTGGTGCCTCATTGTACCAATGTAAAGATATTTTAATCAACGGAAAAGAAAATCGTCACAAGTATTCTGAAGGGGAATACGACTCGTGTATTATAAGCTCTATAAAACAACATTTTCATGATTTCAGTTTGTGTATTCATTAGATTTAATATGAAGACACCTATTTCTATCAAATATGTATATCAACATATACGTAGGGTTTAGATGTAAACTAGTTATGAAATAGGTTGTATTTAATCTGATCTTATGATAAACTAATAAACTCACTTGGTATGATAAATAAAAACTGCCAATGATTGAATTTATAGTAAGTAATGATTGATTACGAGCTGATAAAGGTAATTTTTGATCTGTGATTGTAATTCCTTGAAGTCGAACAATTTCACGTGCTATAAGGAATTTCAAAGCTGATTCAGGTAAAGTCATAAGATCTAGACGATCTTTGCCAATTTTCGAAAAAGGTCCATAAGGAAAGTATGGTCTAAATAAAAAAACTGATGATAATAATAATACATAACTGGAATAAAGCTCATTATTATTATAGTTAAAAAACTCAGCATATACATAATACACAACAGAATGAGAGCTATTTACAAAAACAATATTTGGTTTAATTAAAATCTAGATATGATAGCGAATTACAACACTATGAAAAGATTTGAGAATAAGTCTAGGTTTAAAATTGGTCGATGGAAAGGTGTAAACAGCCTTGAATTGTTCTTTAGTCCTCATTTAATTCACAGTAAAAAAAATAGAACAATGGACTGAAATAGGAACTAAATGTTGACGTTCACAACACATTAAATAAGGTTTTTACATTGATTCATATGTATCCAAGCTACCGAGAGATTAATTTCACGTAATATCATATGGCCACTCTCATCAAACAAAGAGCTTGCAAGTTCCTATATGGCTTAGATTAACGGTTAATTGGTTTATTAGACCTGATGTCATGTATTAGCCTGACCATTAACAGTCAATTTACAACATAAATTTTTTATTTATTTTAACACATAGATATTGGTACAAGGAGGCACCAAATACATATGCGCCACACGAATCTCATTTGATATGTGTGAGGGCTGTGATACTGCCCGGGTGCCCAAACTGAAACTGGTAGTTTTCTTAGGGGGCCACACCCCGAGCCTTCGACCTAAGGATCTGATCCACAAGGCAGTGGAGCATCGTGAGAAGATGTAGTCCCATGGTAGCCGGTGACCAACGATTGGTTCATACGCCATTTGTTCCTTCAGGATACTGGAGCCCATGTGCAACATAAACCTACGCTAACGGGTTAAGATAGGTAGAGATTGGATATATATATATATATATATATATATATATATATATATATACCAATTGACACGGCCTACAGTCCTATCAACTGATTTACTTTATATACCCAACATTAAATTCATTTAGTCAATGATTTTACCCTACATGGAAAACTTTTGGAAGAAGATACTAGATTATGAGTTATTTGTTTTTTTTCTTCTCTGCTTTTAGTAGTTATGTTTAACACAGGTTGAATAATACAGAAAATGAACTGTTGTGCAATGTGTTTGCTTCAAACACCTTGTCTGAGCCACAAATCGAGTAGACCGACGAAAACCAGAAAAAACGAATTTTCAGTAAACATATCGGAATTTCACTTAACAGTAAACACACCAATATTGATGAGACTTCTTAGGTAAGTAAAGTAAATGGTTAACAATTACTTTGCTTTTTACTATAGTCGAGAGTATTAGCCACTGTTTAAATACAAAATCTTAGCACAGTGGTCGAACCAACAATTTTACGTGGAGGTAGAAGCGGGAAAACCTTATGATGAGTAACAGTTCGAATGGATAATAGCATCAATGGATATTTTATTTCTAAAATGATTATGAAACCGAAGACTATAGATGATGCGAGTTAAGTCGACTTTTAACTGGTTATTATGAAAGGATCTTTTCTTGGTTTTATAAAATGAAATGATTAGTTAGATGAAATTAAGTTCAATCCCTATATTTTAACTAATACCTCAAACAGTTTAGCTGGAAAATATTGACTAGGCTAATCAAAGTTCTGATCTCTTTTACGTTATTTACAACCAATAGGATGGTTTGTAAAGTGTACAGTCGATAAGTAATTACAAAAGTGTAGAACTGTTTATTTTGTTGCCTCAATCGCCTATTCTGAGGACGAATCACTTTCTATTTTGCTTCATAATGGTAGCTCAGTGGTAGGGGAGCTCATTTTCCAACCGATCAGTAACTGGTCGCTGTGTTGCTAAGATATCTGAAAAGCAACATTATCATTCTTCAACCGATATTTCCGTTAACTAACAGTTTATTCGCTTAATCAAATAACTACCTATTGTTACCTAATCTCTGATGTGCCTGCTTTATTTTTATGAAAACTGATCATGATTATTGCGATGTCTTAGTGGCTTAAAATAAAGGTTGCATTCGTTTATAATTGTTTTGACACCTCTTTAGCTTTTTCTGATCTGAAAATTGTTTAGCTTTTGCTACCTATTATGGTAAAAGAAAGATTACACAAGGTTGTTTCTATAGAACCTTCGTTATGCCTCATTAAATGTCTAGCTAGTCTCTTCATTTATTGATCGTGGATATTTTCATTTCTAAACAAAAGTTAAAGAGACTTTCTATTCGCAATTTTATTACGATTATCAGGATAAAGAGATGCATATAGTCGAAGAACCTAATCTATGATAAAACATTTATCGGTAAACGGAGTTGACAGTAGTTACGAGAGAGAGGAGTTAATAACATAGAAAAACATAAGTATTTCTTGACTTTCAGTCGTTCTTTACATAATCCTAGCTTATAACTGATAAAAAAATGGCTAACTATGATACACCTTTAATTTGTCTTATTAAACTTACCGATAGAAATCTAGTGAATCTAGGGGTATTTCAGAGGGACTTTCATATCCAAAAAAGTAAGGTAATCCAATAAATGCATAACCGGGTGATCGTAAAGAACCTAAGACTAGTGACTCATCTACAGGCGTAAGAAATATATCTAACTGCGATTTCTGATAATCGGTCATATTGAAGTGAGAACAAATCTAAATAGATAAGTAAAGAAAGTTAACTAGACTTACTTCCTTTGTTATTCGTAAAATTCGTTCAGATGGCTTTGCTTCCCATTCTACGTCAAATCGTGTGACAGACCAACGACAAAGAACTTCATAATATGGCTGGACATAATAAGATAGTGAACATGCTGTGGCCGCGCATAAGAGTGCTAACTTTTGTGAGTGTTTCGCGAAAAATACCGAGAATTTATTCATAACGAAGCGAGCTTCAGAATAATCTCTATGACTAAAGCTTCCTGGAAATGTAAAGCAAAACTGGAAAATAAAAAAGTATAGTGTAATATGCTCAAAATGAGAAGTTAAAGTGTATGCATCTTTATAAATACTATAGATCATGAGCAATACAATTAATAAGTTTCAGTCATAGACTATGGATATTTTGCAAACCACAGGCAAAAATCCCTGATTTATTTAAGCATATAAAAATCGGTATAAAGGGGCACCAAAGCATTTATGCGTCATACAGTATGGAAATTGAGATTGTGAAGAGATAGAGAAAGCAAGGCAAATATAAAGACGATGAATAAAAATAGTTGATGGTAGAAAATAACGGAAACAAATCAGTTAAGAAAAACACAACCAAAACAAGTTCTTTCAGTCAAAGTTACTCTCAAGCCACTGTGATGCATCAACTCCAGGACCCCGACCAGAGAGTTGTGGAGAGCCAACAGAAGCCAGTCCTGTACAGCTTTTGTTCATACTACGACACAATGCTATGTACTGACCATCTCTCCGCTTTTCCCAACCAGCCCCAGAGCCAGCATATGATACATGACGTAGAAATTCTCTGGGATGGTATTTGTAGTACATGTCCAAGCTGCCGAAGTTGGTGTTTGAAAATAGTGACGGTAATCGAATTATCGTCACTGTGCCGAACAAACATTGCCGTACATCTAGATTTCTAAGATGGTGCTGCTACTGAATGTCAGCAATACTTCGGAAACAATGATCAAACATAGAACCTAAGGGAAATAGTGAGAATTCTCCTTTCTCTACTTGGGATGAATTTTACGAAATTAATATCTTCACTTTGACTTAAATTAATGCAAAATGATCTAACTTTCTAACAGGCGACGCCAGTGTGTCTAAGTTAGTGGGAGAAAATAAACTTATTCTCAAAATCGACACAATCCTTTCATATATTGCTTGTTTGAAAGTAATAACCACGGGTAGTTATGAAATAAATGACAGGATGCATGAAGCCATTTATTAAATTATTTGTGGTCTCAGGCTAGCAAAAACGAAAGACCACTCGAAAATCATAATCCGACTAATGCACATACGGGAGTGCTTTCGTAACAAAATTCCTTACGTTAAAATAGAAAGTCGTGTAACGGTTTGTGTCTAGTGAGAAGTCACTTTGTGTAGTAGGAGAGCATGCACAGTAAGGTGAGTGAGGAGGGCTGGGAAAGAGGAAGGAAACAGGTAAGTTGACGACCCAGCAAACAAACAATAGGCTTACATTTACTACGAGAAGTAATAGGCAACAATCTGTAGCAACACAAGCCTCAAATTCAAACAATCTTGGAACAGAAACTAGAGGGAAATAGTTTAACTCGCCAAGCAACGCTTCAGTAGTTCGTCCACTGATGAAAGTTACTGAGCACTTGAAGGTCTAAAGGTCGTGAAACGATTGGTGCGTCACCTTGATAATTCGTAGGGTTTTTCAGAAGCGGTCAAATCAAAACATTTTTAGGTTTGGTTTGAAGTTAACCACAGTACATCTGATAACGTACATCTTTCAGGCAACGAAAGTGGTGCCATCGTAATGATGCGTCGTATAGGACGAGTCTTCAATGATATTATGTTGTCACGACGATTTACAATTTGGGACCTGTTTGAAAAAAGTAAATAGGATAATAGGACTTGTGTGGTTGATAATTATATTTACAGCATAAGCACACTAAGTCTCTAATTTCAGTATGTAAAAAAGAATGGTTGGCTCAACTCGAATTCACCCCTTTTTAGTCTCAACGATCTAGTGTGCTCATTCATAGTGCCTCAGAACAGGAGACTGGGTGATCTGTGTTAGTCTTGAAATTATGATGGTTTCTCAGTTGACCCAAATTTCTTTTGAAAGTGTTGACAAATGGAGCTTCAATCACGTGATGAGCTAATGAATTCCGTTGATTGACGATTCAAAGGGAAAGTCAATAGTCATCTGACAAGTAATTTGTCCTTGGCTTGTGAACGTTTTTGAGTGTTCTCGTAGATTCTCTGTTTTGGAAAACAAGAGAAATGAGGGCATATTATGTTCGAATTCATCACTGAGTAATTTAAAAACTATGATCAAGTCACCTCTAGTTCTTCAATATAACAATGGAAGTAGGTTTAGTTTAGCCAGTCGAGCATGATACGAGAGCTTTCCTATACTGTGAATCAGCTTAGTTGAAGTTATCTGAATCTTTTCCGACAGCTCACTGTCTATTTTCAGGCAGGGGCTAGCCGCTTGTATACAGTATGCGAGTTTAGAACAACAAATACTGTATACAACGTCAAAAAGGTTTTAACGTCAACAGGACTAAAGGTCGTATGCATTTACCATGGGGTTCTAAAACTTTCGGTGGCTATCACACGGTAGTGTGCAGTAGATTTTAAGTTTTGGCTAACGATGAATCTTAAGTTATTGTGTGTCTGGATGACAAGCAGCTAAATGTTTCTCACCGTATTTGTCAGTTGACTATCGACTTTCTCGTTGAATCATCAACGAATGGAATCCATTACCTCAACACATGATTGACGACCAATATACATCATGATGCACTTAGAAGCATTTGTCGGAGATTGCCAAATTTGAGGCCGCTAAGATAATTTCTCCAGGTCATTTTGAGGCCCTAAACTACCACATTCACTTTTTACCGCTCTTCATATCTTGACATCATCAGCATATAATAAGACCGATAATGATAGGAGGCGAGGATGGTCATTTACATACAACAATAACAACACTGGCTCCCAAAACACTCCGATGAGCACATTTTTCCAGCTAGGCAACTTCAAGTTCACCCGTACTCTTTGTTAATGCCCAACTACGGAGTTCTTTGTCTATATTAATGACTTGCCACCTAGCCCGATATTACTTAGCTTATTTAACAGTGTTGTGAGGAACTTTGTCGAAATCCTTTCTGAAGTCAATGTAGGCTACGTCTGTAGGTAAGCCATCAACCTTGGCACAGAAGCTACTATGGAACGCAGCATGTCGTTAAGAAATAAGTGCATTATTAGAATCCGGGAAGCTTAGAGAATATCTGAAATGCAGTTGGTACAATCTATAGTGAAGCAGCCTAAATGACCATTCCCATGCATAAATTACAGAACAAGGGTGTAGCATTATATTACCAACCTAATTACTGAATGCAGTGAACCTGAAATGATAGAGGACAATCAGGAAGAAGCAGGGGTTATGGTAAACTGTTACGGTGTAGTTTTCACTCGGGAGCCTCTTCTAGATGAAAAACTAAACACAAATACGAAGTCAACAAACAGTCTGCTAACCGTGAACTTTCATCAAGACGATGTACTTAAGGCTCTTATCACTTTAGACACGGAAAATTCAACAGGAACGGATGAACTACACTTTGAAATCCCGAGACAAATTGCACAATATATTGCAGCCCTACCAACTGTAACCTTCAATATATCACTTGACCGGGCTGTGTTACCTACGAACTGGAAGGATACAATCGTCACTCTTATACAAAAAACAGGACCAAGATGACTTTCATCGAACTACAGACCTGTCAGCTTCGCCTGTATAGTGGTTAAAATACTAGAATGAATAGTCAAAAAGACAGTAATGACATTTGTGGGAACCAATAACCTAATAAACAGCGAACAACATGGTTTCAGAAAAGGTTTATCTCTAACAATAAACCTCTTTATAGTGAGTAAGCAATAGATAAAGGCTCTAGACAATGGAAAATCAGTGGATGTTGCCTACCAAGACTTCAGCAAAGCATTTGATGAGGTGCCAACAAAAACGCTCTTTAAGCTGGAAAGTCCTGACACTGACGTACCTCTCCTAAAGATTTCTTGGTAGGTCGTAAACAGAAAACAAGAATAAATTTCAAATGCTCCACCTAGAAATCAGTACTTAATGGAATACCTCAAGGTTCTATCCTAGGTCCTTTACTTTTCATATTGTATGTACATGGTTTCCCAAGTATATTTTAGACCTTAATGCCACTATACCCTGATGATGTAAAAATCTGGCGAGAAGTAAAAGGAGAGGCAGATGCATGCGCACTCCAGGTAGACTTAGATATTGTGATTAGCTCGTCTACAGAGTGGCTGATGTCTATCAACGAGGCCAAGTGTGTCTACATGAACTGTAATGATGCAAAGGTAAACAGGTGCAACATGGAGGGAAGTGCCTGTACCCGTGGTCTGGTCTCACAAGGATCTTTGGGGTGACAGTGATTCATGATCTTAAGACCACGGTTCACTGCTGAGAGGTTGCAACTAAGGGGTTTAGAACCCTGTGGGTCTAAGACGGACATTCACCAAGATAGATGCTACTATGCTCACTAAAGTATGCACAACCTTAGTGAGAATTAAGCTTGAAAACTTCGTTCAGGCTTCACGCACCTTTTTAAAAGGTGACTCGTATATCCTGGAAAAATTACAGACGATAGCTGCTCGTGCAATTCCAGAACTCCTGGGTTTACCATACAAAGAGCGAACTGAAAAGCTAGACCTCTTTGCTCCGTCCTATCGCAGATTAAGAGGTGGTCTTACTTTGATGTGTAGAATACTAAGACATGATTTTTGACGTAATATACTTTCTCTTTTCCTTCCCACTAGATCGGAACATCTCAGAGGACATATTAGGCGGGTGGAAACGTGAAGAACGAACAACATACCCGTGTTATGCAGTTTTTCACACCGGGTCATTAATTCTTGAAACCTGTAACAGTAAGCAGATGTGTTCGCACCTTCAGTTGATACATTCAAGAGAAAACAAGACACTCATAAAAACATTGAGACATAGGCTGTAGGCTTTCTGTGCTTAAAACACAAATCTGAATTTGAAAAGCCACCGCACCTCTTATCTTTTGAACCGCTTTAAGGAGTCCTGTAAACGCCCCACCATGGTTTAACAAAGAGGTTTGCACCCTTCTGAGTAAGAGGAGTACGATTCGGGAGATATTTGCGTTAATGAGTACTAACGAGAAAAATCGTCAATGACAAGCAGCTCGAAATATTTGTGATTCGAACTCCCGCAAACCTGGAAGAGTGAATGTAAAAAATCTTGTTAAGTAGTCTACAAAATACCCAAAACACTTATACTCGTACATAAACCAAAGGAGTAAGAGAATAAGAAATATTCCAGCATTATGGGGAGATAGTAATACTTCATAATTGATGAAAGACGACTGTGGTAGAGCTCACGTATTCTCAAATTACTCTAGCAATGTATATATTGTAGAACATTAAAGAACTCGATGTATTCGGTCAGCTAAATGAGCTTGATATAGGCAAATCCCCAGTATCCGGTGAAATGCACCTTGAACTACTAAAGAAAATAGCTGATTTCACCGCGGATCCGTTAAGTATATGTTTTAATATATGTGTCCCAGTGTCGATTGCAAAAGACTATCAACTTTCCCATCGAAACTTCAACAAACGAAATCCATCACATGCTGATGTGATGATAGTTCTATCTGCAAACGCTTTTAAAAAGAAAGTGGATTTTGTGAGAGATAAGCTTTGTCGAGATTAATTAAGATCACCCAGGTTCCTGACTTTTGAAAACTGATGAATTGTTCGTTGAATCAACGTTTTAATGCACCGTTAAACTTTATTTTTCTCCTTGACGACGGCTTTGAAAATTTTCAACTAGGAATGAAATGCCTGTAAAGAGTAAAGCTAGGTTTGTTAACTTTGTAGTTAAACTTTGATTATTGGCTTCAAAATCAATATTTTAATCGACATTTAAATTCTTTTACAGCTTTTTGGAGGCATATAATAGCCTCACGGACAAACATTTAATAAACTATTTTTCTACATCTCGGATGAGACGGCATCTTATAAACAATGGATTAGTAAGTTTACACAATATCATTTCCTTTAAGTTCAGTGTGACGCGCTCTTTATTTCGACACAAGTAGATAATAAAGCAGATATTCATATATTGTGTTTGTGCGACCGTATTTAATTAAATACTTAAGTAATTAAATACTTAAATAATTACTTAAGTAACTCAAGTTTTTATGATCTAGATAACCACTTTCTTATTTCGTTATTATGCAGTGAATTGAGCTGTTATATGATTGCGTATAGATTGTGTTTGTGTTTCAGAATTCCGACTTTGACGTTATATCTTCGATGTCGGACAGCTTATAAAGCTGTTAATAGCATTAAAAAATTTATGAATCCTACAAGGTGACTTTAAAGTATGTAATTAATCCAGCATGCTAACATTTATTGGTGCAAGCGATAATCATACTTCTTGAGTGTTTCTAACATGCTACATTTATTTGTAACAACTGATTTATTTCTAAACTTTGGTAACTGATTGACTTGAATGGATATTATACAAAGATAGGTGGTTTTTATACTGCAAAAGGATGCACTTGCAAAGTGGTATCGAAGTGACACGTAATCTTCCGACAGTTTTGTCACA